TCCTTCTCCTTCTTCTTCTTCTTCTTCTTCTTCTTCTTCTCCTTCTTCTTCTTCTTCTTCTTCTTCTTCTTCTTCTTCTTCTTCTCCTTCTTCTTCTTCTTCTTCTTCTTCTTCTTCTTCTTCTTCTTCTTCTTCTTCTTCTTCTTCTTCTTCTTCTTCTTCTTCTTCTTCTTCTTCTTCTTCTTCTCCTTCTTCTTCTTCTTCTTCTTCTTCTTCTTCTTCTTCTTCTTCTTCTTCTTCTTCTTCTTCTTCTTCGTCTTCTTCTTCCCGAGGAGTGACAACAATTAATTAGCTAATTATTTTGTCACTTTGAAAGGAGGTCGGCGTTGTACATTCCGGTAAGTTTATGATTTTTTAGATTGTTGACATAACTATTAATTTGAACATAAACCTTAGATGAGCGTAAGTAACCTTGGTTACTATGTTACTCTATTACCATTCTTTTTTTTAATCACCTATTCCCATCAGATACGAGCAATAAGTTTCACCATTCTCTTTCTGCTGAAGCTAAGTAAGATTAATAATGATGAGGTTTTTAGTATGAACGCGGTGACGGATCAATCGAAGATATTGATTAGTTACATAGCGTTATTATCTTTAATTTGGTCACCCGTGAAGGGGGTCAATAAGTCTTGCCCCCCGGCAACGCCGGCTTCATTGGCCCATTCTACCTGTCCACGAGCATCCATTTTGTCGTGGAGATCGTCACTCCCACTACTACTGCATTAAACGCACCCATTCCTTGCCGATATACTAATTTTTTGGATCAGGAAAGGATACGGTTGCCATGGCATTTTGATATTTTGATCCTGATATTGTTGATATTGAACATGCATTGGAAGGAAAGAGGAATGAAAGGTAAGTGTTCTTGTCAATCTATAAGAAGCAATGCTATGAAATATCGAGTACGCCTACTGTCAGGTCGTATGTTGTGATTACACACAGTCACATCTGGTAGTGAAAAGATTCTAGTTGGATGTTTTAAAACATTTGTATTTTAGTAATATAATATATTAGATAACGGGAATGATATTTACTCTCAACTTTCTTCAGTCTCGAATTGTGTAATTATAGTCATTACTTCTTCTTCTTCTTCTTTCGGATGGGGGACGTATTTATATCAAAAACTTTTCTTTGATTAATTCCCTGTGAACAATTAAATACAAACAAATGTGATATTGTTATGTCAAAAGTCTATCAATAATTCATCCAACTTTATAAGCCTGGAATTGTCTTAAATGAGGTATTTGTCATTGATTATGTTTGTCGAATCAGTTTGTATCGCACATAAACCATTAAACGCAGTCATTCTGTATCACAACATTATTTCTACAAGTCAGTAAACAAGTGATCTAAGTGAAATTTATTCCAGTCAATATATATTTCAGATCAATTGTGTTTATTAATAGATTGATAAATTTATGTAAATGATACTAATTCAAATTTAATATAATGAACAGAACTTGAACTAGAATTAATTAAGGGAGACAGTTAAATAATTCGTAGGCCTGTGCGACACCATGAGTGAAGAAATACTTTGTAGATGACTAGATATTCTAATGATAACAACAACCAGGCGCGTACGCAGGGGGTGGTTTTGGGGTTAACCCCCCCCCCCCCCTCGAGTTTTTTTATGTGTATGTTTTAAGTATGTTTTTTTTGGAAAACCCCCCTTTTGATTTTAAACCCCCCCCCCCTTGAAAAAAATCCTGCGTACGCCACTGACAACAACAACAACAACTAACTTATAATACCACTGTTTTTGGTAATTTATCTAGTTGACTGTCCAAGGCTAAATATTATTATGGATTAAATTCATATTCTATTTTGTGTGTGTCATTTTAAACAGAACTATGCGTGGTGGGTATGAGTGGTAGCAGCGAACCTCCTGTGTTCGTTCAGCCTCAGCGCACAGTTAGGGGACCCATCAGTGAAGAAAGGAATTCTAGCGGTCTGAGGAGTGTAAAGCCACGTCTGTTCACCCCGCTAAAGCTCAGCAACCCTCGACCCAATCTACCAGACATCCTAGATAAAAGGAGCGTCATCACGATACAGGGGAACGCAAAGGCACTTCATGGAAATGTTTCCACCGTATCCTGCAAGAGTGGAGAACCGAATCGGTTGAGTCCAGATGTCCTGAGCTTGAGACAAGATAACGAGAAGTTCACGGCGCAACGAAGTGATGCTGACAAAGACAATGTATCAATGACAGCAACCCAGCAAGATGCCATGTCTGTGAGTAGTAGGATGTTTTCTGAAAGATCAGTGCCAACTATGGCAACGTCCAACCCAAGAGTGCCTTCTAAGTCGTGTGACCTGACCCGTAACACATTCTCTGTGACACCTATAGCACTGACTAAACGAGGTGATACGAGTCCAAGATCGAGCCCAACCAAGTCTAGATCATCATCACTAGATGGTGATGTCTCCGTTAGGGGAGATCCTGACCCTATGCCACCGATAGGCAGGAAAGGGAGCTTGAACGCCGGTCGCTTGAGCGAACAAACCCCGAAACGATTCTGTTCAAAACCCTTCCCTTCGAGCAGGCAACGCATGCTGAGAAACTTCCAAGAAAAGATAAGAGTTTTAGAAGGCCAGGTTCAAACAAACTTCATTCCTAGTGAATTGCAAAGCGGAAGCGTGAAGGCCTACCAAAGACTGATCATTTTGAACCAGAGGCCTAAGACTCAACCTCAAGAACCACAAGACCCACCACGTGAGCATAAGCCACGGGTAACATTCGCCCCGCAGACTGCGCCGGAGCTGAACGCCCCGGCAACAGATCTCAAACACGTCTGGGCGCCCGAAGACACACCCCCGACTGCAGCAGCCAACAACAACAACAACACAGAACGCAAGGTGGTGATGCACTTGAATCAACTCTCAAGGAAGTATCAGCAAGAGAAGACGGTAAAGTTTGCCTTGGACTCTCCATCTACACAGACAGAAATAATTAACAATGATATCAGCAATAAGAACAGAGTGATCCCAAACGATGAAGAGCCACGTGAGAAGTTGGTCGATCACTGGTTAAGTGATTGTCCTGTCATGGATCCACCGCAAACCACCTATGGCACTGTCAACTGTATTCCGCGTAAGAAGATCGTACTGAACGTTCCTAGCACCATGCAAGATGTTCAAGAGGGGTCATAGATGAGGGATTATTCTAGAAATAGGAACTGAGTGGAACTAGTAAAGTTCTGGATACCATGGTTGGCATGGTCAATATTCCGAGACGTATATCACTCAGTCCTTTCTTAAGACATTTCTCATTAGGGGAGGCACTAGTAGCCTATGAATAAATATCTTTTAGTTTATGAATATGGTGATTAAGAACTTTGAGAGGGATAATCTTATAAAATGGAAAAGAAGAGAAAGGCAAATGATAACCAAGGAGAGTCAAAAAACCATTTATTGATGATTATCATGCTTTTTTTTCCCTGTCTAATCTTCATTACTCCTTAGGATTTTGCGCACAAAAAATATTTTTCGTTTATCAACAAATTGCAATTTTGAAATTAGTGTAAAGTTATATTTTTAAAAGTAGTAAAGCGAATCTATTTTACGATTGCTTTTAGATGTTTAAGTTTCGTTAATTTAATTGTAAAGGAATGTGCAATAATTGAAGTCGGTGGCGTAGCTGCAGGAGGACAGAAGGGGCACCCCTTGATCAAATGGTTAAAGGGGAGACAAAAGGACGAACAAGAGGGGAAATGGAACGTGAAAAGCAGATGCTATAACCCCTGCCACACCCATTCATTATGATGACCTCGTAAGTTTGCATTTTATCAGTCAAGTAAGACCCCCCCCCCCCTCCGCCCCATGATGCCCCCAAAGTCTGTACACAATAATATGCTACGCCATTGATTGAAATGTATCTATACAAATTGGATCGCAATGCAAATGCTAACCGCACATTATATGTGTACAAGGCTATATCAAACTACCGGTTAGTCTTTTGTGCAATATTTGATGCAAATGTATAATAAAATCTTGATGAGTGATTCTTAAAGATGACAAATGCATGCGCTTTCTATCCAAAGGTAAAGGCTATTTACAAAGTGATTTTACGTTATTGTTGTTCTTGAATGAAACAATATAATAAGCGAAAGATTTAGCATGTTATGACTATTGGCTACTTATCAAATATATTCATTAAATAATATTGTTTTTAAAACAAATCTTCTGTATTGAGGGCAAAACTATGTTGTGAGCCACGAAATTATGCGTCAAGTGAATTTGCAACTTGATTATTGAAAATAACGCACTGATTCTACGTTACTCACAAAAAAGATGCTGACATGCTAGTCAGATTGAAACTATCGGTTCTGATGGAGGAGAAATATCCTCACCACATTCAAGACAAGACGAGTAGGATTAGAGATTCAATCTTGTTAGCTTGGTATCAAAACAAAAGTATTTTAAACCTCACACGTATGTAAATTATGATGATGTGTGCCAATATCACTCTTTTTTGTTTGAAGAGCACATTTTATCACATTAAATAGATATTGAAATAACACGAATTCTGTGTATACGTGTTTTGAGAATGATGCTCTTTTGCTTGCTGGTTGTGTTGCTATGGAATGTTGCTTTTATACTTGTTGGTGATCATGATGTTGTATGTCTTGTTGATGGTGATATTATGCTCGTAAGTGAACTTGATCTTAACATCACAGAGTATTTGTCAAGCAGACTAAGTTAAAGACAATTGAGTGGAACAATTTTTTTTGTAATTCAGCGCATCACAAAAAAACGGGCAAGGAAATTAAAAACATCTGGTGGACAATATATTCGAATCATAAGTTGACGCCCACTCTCTCGATACATTTCCCCTTTTCATGAATACACTGTTGCTTTTGTTATATATAGCATACACTTACTTCAATCCAGGCTTCAACTTAGTCTGCTTCTGTAAATAGGGTACATTACTCACCAATATTGTACTGGTGTTTCAATACGTATAGTGACTATAACAATGCGCAAAGACAAAACAGTAATTCAACTTTAGAAAATACAATTTAATCAATACACATGGCATCATGAATTTTTGACATTTCAATTCAATAAGCAACATAATGACGGATTTAGCAATCATTCAATCAACATCTAAAGTAGGTGCTTTCCTTCATTTGACATGCATTACATCTAACTATTCACTTTGTATCTTATATTAATTTTACGTTATCGAAAACATCACGAAGAAAAATAATCATGTCAATCTTCATAAATTTCATACATTCATCTTGATTTAAATATTGGGACACAAATTTGCAAGGAATTCAAGATCTAATATTTATTCCGAATTGAATGGGAAGGGTCCATTTCCATAAATGCATTGTTTCAAACAATAATCAAAACTAAAATAAACCAATTGCGTTTTGTACAGGGATATGACAAATCTGCGTATTCGACTATAAGGTATCATGGTTTGCGTTCGTTTCTTTTTGATGATTTACTATCAACCAAGCATAAACTCTTTCCGAATAATCCACATCACATGTTTTCCCTCCATCCATCCAAAACACTGGACTCATTTTAACAATCTCTCCCCAAAAATCAAAATAATTTAATCATTTTGCACTACATATTGGCAAAACAATTTGCTTACATGTATATATTTGAACAAAATGAAAAAATGTTTGAGGAATTGGCCGACGATTGTAAAATGTGTAGGCTGCTCCGGGAGTCACAAACACTGGATTTTGGTAAAAGAGGGAAATTCATCTACATGACAATGTTCTTTTGTTTTTTGGGAGTGTTCGATTTATCAAATGCATTAACGAGTTGATGTAAAGTACAGGTGAGTCTCAGATGAGAATGATCTTAATTTAGTACAAGATTGGTCACCGAATAAGGACGTGGTCTCCTTTGTCAAAGAGTTTGGCAAACCCGGTTTTAGATAGTTTATGGTGAACACTGCTTTGCTTGACAAGCACAAACAAATTACAATCTCTATGGGATGAACCAAGTTGGAGCTAAGTGAAATAACTGACTAATCAGAAGCGACTTCCGCTGTCGCGACTATCCCAAAATAAACTAGCTATGTTTGCCATGGCTATTTAGGCTACCTCTGTTGTCACTTTAATTTCATGATATCAAGGTGGAAAGGCGGCATTTATAGCAGCGTCGTCATCGCAACATCAAAGGTGCCATAAAACGTCACGGCCGAGCACTGCGCTGCAGGAATGGCATCGTTTACTGTCGTCAGCCGAAGTAGACTTATCACAATGAATTTAAGAATCCTCATCCTCAGAACTAGAGGAAGGGTATGGTGACCCGACATACATCCATTTATCACGTGACAGTTCTAAATCACACGTGACGAGTTCGTCATCGTCACCCCAATCGACGTGGCGTGCGGCAGCTCCTCGATGCGAGTTCGCATTCGCTCTCGTCAACGTATCACCTCCGTCGCCCAGCAAACCCGATAGCCATTGCCGACATCGCTCAACATTCTCGCTCAAATAGACGTCGTTGTCATGGTGCGTCTCGCGGAGGTGAAACTCTGACGGCTTTGTTTGAGATAGAGGAATGACCGAATCTTGCATGGGTATCTCGCGCTCGTCGATCATCCGACTCCGCGTACGCTTGATATTCGAGCGCCGTAAACCACGTGCTTTATTCGAGGCTGATGCTTGCATAGTCTCTGGTGAGTTACTGTCATCATTGTCGACTTCCTCGTCGACCTGAATTTTACCGGGTGACCTTGTCGATCTCGACGAACCGGCACTCGCGCATCGCCCGTCTGCTCGTGCTGTTAAAGGACCCGATGGGTTGGACGGTATCGTAATCGTTGGCACGTTAATTTCAGTTGGTTTGGTATCGATTGCTACATCCTCGGGTTCGGCAGGCACGGTTTGCCAAGATGGCGGCTTTGGCGGTTTGTAATTTGAAGTCTCTGGTTGTCTATGAATCCCAGCTCCTTCGCTTGTGTCATATCCCGTCCAAATAGCTGTTGGTTCTTTATTTCCATCTGCATCAAATGGCCCCACTTGAGTAGCAACTGTTTGCCACGAAGGTGCTTTGGATGGTCTATAGCTCGCGGAATCTGGAATTCTGTCATATCTTTGCATCCCAATTTCCTCACTCTTTGAGCGACCTATCTTTTTCAGCATTTCTGAAGCATGACTAGACTTTTTGTTTGTTCTCATCTCGGATTCTGGTAGACTTTGTTGGGAAGTAGTTTGTAGGTTTTGCCAAGATGGTGGCTTTGGTGGTCGAGCACTTGTGCTTTCATCTTTCTTTGAATAAACGGAGTTCTTGATCTTTGGCTTTACTCTTAACCTATCGCCATTTGTTCTGTCACCGTTCTTGAATATTTCCATCCCATTTTCATGTAGGATATTTTTTTCTTCTATACTTTGATTTTGATGGGGGGCATCATCTTCATCATCGAATTCATACATGGCGGTGTCACACAACATTGGGCATGATTTTGAATTGTCCTTTCTAAGTCGCGCAAAAGATGTTGACGCTAACTCCTGTCGATGAAATTCGCTTGGCGGATAGCTCATCCGCTTCGAGCCACTGGCTTGCAGTTTCCCCAACCGTTGCTCCCCTTTTGAATTGGTATTTCTCCTACTCACATACTTCCTCGATCGGGTCGATGACGACGTCTGTGACCCCGCCGATGTTGGACGGATTTCCTGGACGACGACCGAAGAGTTTTCCCCGCTTGTTTTCTCACAGTCTCTAGACGGTGTCGATCCGCGTTGCTTGTGCCTATTCTGCTTCTTGACGAAGTCTTTGATGGACGTCAGGCCCCGATGTCGTCGCTGCGTTTCGTCTTTCTTGATTTCGTCGCTTTCGTCGTGGCTGTTCGTACGCGATATCGGCGGTAAAGCGGTCATCGCAGTCCCATCTTGATGGTGTCTCCGAAGAGGATTGTACCGTGAAATCAGTTGCTGCGATGCCATCAAATACAGGTCTACCTAGCTGAAGGAGGGAATATGATGGTAAAAAAGGGGGAAATGAGTCAAGTGATCATTGGTGAAATGCGTTGTTATTGAAATTTGATTTGATCTGATTTTATTTTTTTGACAGGGTAGCCTGATAAGAATACCAAAATTTTGTTCTTCCTCGGGGCCAAAAAGAAAACCTACATTCAAATTTCAAATAAACATAATCCAAAAACAACATATATGGTAACAACAAAACAGGGTAACAATTAGGGGAACTGATACACTGGTTACACTGATATGTACATAATGGACATAATGTTTCTGATCATTTTACAACATAATTCAGTTTACATTTGGACAACTAGGCCTATACCGCAAAGAGAGATGGATCCATCATGCCCATGACAATAACTCATTGAAAATTGTTTCCCTAGTATAATCTGGTAGTTACCATTCAAATTGAAGCTGAGGGGGGAAGAAATAGTAAGTCTTATCGAATGCGCTCCAGGACTGGTTTCATTTTGTATACGTAAGTACGATTCTACTTATTTCTTTATTAATAATAGATGAATGCTGATGATCAGGTTGATAGAAATAGGATGGGTCCGCATCTGTCATGTGCTATAAACACGATATCAACTACTTTTGAAAAATCAATCTACGGCAATTCAATATCCTTGCGCTACACCAAATCTGAACATTATTTCTATGGGATATACACTGTTGGTCATAATGGTGGAATAATTTTTTGTTTTACCCCAATTTATTGAATGATTTTGAAAATGATTTATTCCTAATAGATCTAGATAATAGTATACATTCTCAGATTTTATTGAATTACAATTGGGGTGTGTTTGTTTTGCGTGACTGTTAAAGCATGTGTGTGCTACTACGCTAATCAACTAGGGGACCTACGTCCTTAAGTCATAACTGACAGTAATGGCGATTAGTACCTCATAAAAGGGCACTAATATAGCACATCGACACGGTTTTGATCCTGGTTGATTTGCATGCTTTAGCAGTCACGCAAAACAAACACTCCCTAATTGTCATTCAATAAAATCTGAGAATGTTTACTATTATCTAGATCTATTAAGAATAAATCATTGTCAAAATCATTCAATAAATTGGGGTAAAAATAATTATTCCACCATTATGACCAAGAGTGTACATTGGGGTATAGAAATTGCCCTCAAGTGTTAACATGATTTGTCGAAAAAGGTTGCGTGGGATTACATAATTATAGTACAATGCACTTACGTTTTAGTATATTTTAACTTAGTGTTGCCACTTGTTCCAATCTTTCTTGTTCATCGGCCTTGTCCATTTACATCTTGAGACACATTGGAACCTTGAAGAGAGTCAAACCTGTGAAGATTAAATAAGATAGTGGTTAGGAAAATAACTTTACATCCAAGAGAGCTTGGGGATGTTTTACGAACATTCCACGACTTGTTAGCATCAGTAAAATGTGTGCAAGAAAGACGTTTATTGATATGCCTGAAGCAGAGCCATCTATACACAGGGTGTGACCTAGCTTGGAATCAATTGGTCACAACATGGCGTGTATTCTGTTGTGCTGTGCCTGCATGCCCACCTAATTATACGCAATATTGTGCCCAACTCGAACCCGGTTGGCCAAACTCTCTTTGCTCACGGCTCTGGCCTAGACCAGCGCCATCTATACAGAGTTTGGCCAACTTGGTTTCACTTGGTCACAACATGGCGTATATCCTTTTGTTTTGTGCTTGTCCAGCAAAGCAGTAGTCGCCACATATCGTGTCCAACTCGAAACTATGTGTATAGATGGCTCTGGCCAGTGCCATTGATTAGGAGAGTTTGGCCAACCCGGTTCGAGTTGGACACAACTTGGCGACTACTGCTTTAATTGTTGGGCAAGCACAACACAAAAGGATATACGCCATGTTGTGACCAAGTGAAACCAAGTTGGCCAAACTCTGTGTATAGATGGCTCTGGCTCTGGCCTAGTGTTAGCGCCCTCTTTATTCTTGACAGACCATTGACATATTACTTTTTTTTTAATGTGTGTAACCTTACCCTCCCCCCCCCCCCCCTAACGAAGAAAAATGTCAAATCTTAAAATTTTGAGACCCCCGCCCCCCCCCCAAAAGTGTCCTCTTATTTCCCCCCCCCCCCGCTTATTTAGCGGCTGGCTGAGTCGTTGCGAAATTTCTGGGACCAAATTTTAAAATGTTAACCCCCCCCCCCCTTGAAAAAATCCTGCGTACGCCACTGCTTATGAACATTAGATAATACAGTATTCAGCGGGTGAAGAGATTTACAAGTTGTCCCTTTTCATTCTGCTGTATATTTCGGTGATGATATTGAATACTGGCTCTTTAGAAACAATTTTGTAAGGTTAATTGAGTAAATAAGAAGACCAATTATGCATTTTGAGATTTTAAAATCATTCGTATAAATATTGTCTTCATCACAACGGACAGATTAAAATTTGGCGATAACGTCAACGGCTCGAAATGTAAAAATTCACAATAATTGTGAATTTTTAAGGTTGAAACACAAACCCAAAAAATCTCTGATTAATTCCATCACCGATATTCTCTTCAAGAGCGCTTTCCATGTGCAAGAAACTGCGGTCCTATTGCCAATATTTGTTTGTTTTCAATACGGGTTGATTTGACAAATTACATTAATCTTTATAATCAAATCATTTTTTTAATTAAATTCTATAAGGGGTTTGGGCCTTCAATTAGATAGCCTTCGAATGTACAGTACATACACACTGCAAACCAAACCAAAACATAAACAAGCTAGATCTCCGATGTGCTTTCTAACCCAATGATAGCGACGCAACATTGCCTGGGAGGTCTATTATTCAGCTCTCATTTTAACTCGGCTATAACCAAACAACCTTCACAATCAAGAGTCTGATAGTAATCATAGCATCACCAGCGGCTTGAAATTTTCTCAGGAAAAAGAATGAACAAGAATGATGCCCAGCGAGAAAATATAAAGAAAATGGACAACAGTGAGATTCCTGTTAGCCGCAGATCGAAGTCCATAATATGTTTGCTCCTTAGAGATCGATTGAATGTTCCAATCATGCTTTTAACAAAGGGAACAATGGAGGCGTGAATTGGCGTAGGGCTTATGTTTATTCCATTAAATCACGGCTTTGGCATTATCGGGCACATTCACACTCGGCATGCTCGAGCCTGCCTAAATTGGATTTATAAGCAATCACTGTCTTTTCGATTCATTATTTTATGTTCGAAATGAGATCAAGTACGTATTGGGTGTGAGTCCTAACGCAGCGTAACTGCCGATAAGCAAAGGATTGAATCTCACAACATATGGACAGCAGAATGCGATGAAATAACGATTTGACCACCCCTGCATAAATATATACAGTATGAAATAATCAAGAACGAAACAATCAAAATGACCTATTTAAAAACAAAACCTATTTTTCGGTTCCTGTCTGGTTGAATATTTCTATACAATGGTGTTATTTATATTTCCATCGCGGCATGTTGCCGTATTACACTAACATTGGTGACGTGAAGAAAGGTGCAGCAGCCACTAATCATTTCCCTCTGTAGGTTCTCGATGCGTTCCATGATGCATGGACATACTACCGACATTGTATATCCATAAATTATATCAGATTTGAAGTATGTATTTAGAATTCATTTGATTGGAAAGCATTTTAACATATCAGCACAGAGGCCGATATATAAACTCATATTTCAACAAATGAACACAGCAAGGTAGAATTAGAAGGGGAGATTATTCATGTTGTGTCATACTGACATATAACTGAGTCACACTTGAAAAATGTAAACAGCTCCACAGTCACACCAACGGGACCGACACCAAACCGACAAAGACCGACAAAATATAACATTACCACCAACGGTAACAATCGGTGGTTTGGTGTTGGTTTGGAATAGGTTTGGCAGTGTGGCTAAGCTACTAAGATGGGTGACTAATGGAGGGGTTAAACTAAAAGTTTTCTTTTGAGAACAGTTTGTATTTCTTCGCTGAACTGTTACCAGTCTGACTTGAAGTCATTGTATCTCTTCCTCATTTTGTACAAAATCTGGCCAACAATGGCTTCTTTGTCACTGTACTAATTCAAACTAGATTACATTTGATGATGGAATTAAATTAATATCATTTAAAATATTGAAATGACAAAACCTATTACTACTACACCTGTTGTTGCCCCTATTTATATGCTATTACTACTACTACTACTACTACATGTACTAATACTGCTACTATTATACTACTACCACTACTACTACTACTACTACTACTACTATTACTACTACTACTACTACTACTACTACTACTACTACTACTACTACTACTACTACTACTACTACTACTACTACTACCACCACCACCACCACCTCCACTACTACTACTACTACCACTACTACTACTACTACTACTACTACTACTACTACTACTACTACTACTACTTCTATTTCTACTTCTACTTCTACTATCCACTACTACTACTGCTGCTGCTGCTGCTTCTACTACTACTACTACTACTAGTACTACACTACAACTACTACTACTACTACTACTACTACTACTACTACTACTACTACTACTGCTACTTATGCTCCTACTGCTGCCGCTGTTACTGCAACTACTATAACAACGACTACCACATGGGACATGATACAGATGCTACCACAATGATTGTATGCCCATTTTTTTGTATTGATTCTTTATGCCTTACTTTTTAAAAAATACGTAGATGAAATCGCTCTACTGCTACATTTATACTGATGGGCCTACCTTACAACTAAATCTTCTACAGGGGATGATTATATTCGTCAAATTATAGTAAAGCATATCAGTATATTTATGAGGTAATTATATTATATTCCCTCAATAAAGTATATACGCATTGCATTAGGGTTATATTTGTGACCGTATTTGCCGACTACTTTAATCAGCTTGGAAGACGTATATAAGTAGCTTGCCCTACAAAGGTATAACGGTGGACAGAGTAGAAAGAAATCCAGGCATTAACAAAAGAAAGAAAGAGGGGAAGAAAGAATGAGAGAATAAAATAGGAGTTATCAGCTTACGATATAACTAGCATTGTTTGAGGAGCTTAGAAACCTTGTAGCCATGAAAAGCCGTTCTTCTATTCTTCCCTTTAATGTTTCGATGACGATATAATCAAAGGGCATGATTGAAAAAAAGAATATAGAGGGAAGGTGTGTTTCTCAGCTGGAAATTTATTGTTGGTTTACAACTCTGAAGAATTACGGCAATTGTAAAGGCAACTTTCCGATTGTTGGATGTATTATATAGCGGTATATTCCCGTAAACCATTATGTTAGTTTTATTCAGACAGAGAGGTTTTCATGTCGATATGCTATGTATCACGACTGAGATTATGTTCCAGGGATGCTGCACAACCCGTTTAGATACTTTGTGTAGAATTACGAGGCCAAAATGCTTACTTTCTGTGAATAATGTAGTGCATGGTATTACTTAGCATAACATTATTATAATCAACGTAACACATAGACAGCAACTATAATATAACTTATAAAATATTTATATTTATCACAGGTCGTGATATGAGACCTTTTTAAATGGGGGTAGAATAGTTTTGATGCCCACTAGTTAGCAAGAAATTTACATCAAGAAAAGTGAAGGGTTTTCTTAATTTAAAATTCGCTAAAATGACGTTCCAATCTTTTTTTCGCGAAATAAAATTTGAAACTTGAACTTGAAACTTGAGCCTTTATATTCTGGAAATGGTGGCGTACAATGTTCGTAAAGTATATAGGGAGATAACATAGGATCGTTTCCTTAATGTGTATTCATGAATTTGAATTTATTAATATTTATTATTTAAGAAAATGAAATGCGTAATTGCTTTCTGTAAACGATTTTCAACCGTTCAGAAATAATAATTAATATACTTTAATTACATCAAATATTTTTCTTTCTATTATTGCTCGTTACGTTTCAATGACAGTATATATAGGTGGCAACTCTTTTCAAGTTATCTTTTGTGTTTGTCTATAATTATGTAGTTTATTAAAAGAAGTGATGGGGCAATGGGAGCCCGATGTGAACTGTTATGCGCTCTTTAAAGTATAAAGAAGAAATTACAAAAATTACATATATACAGACACAATTTTGTAATGACTTGTAATCAATATAAAACACATTTTCATCGGTATTAATCAAGTTAGTTTGGAGGTGTAACTTTTAAGTAAGTGCGAAATATTTTTGCTTGATTTCAAATTATTTCAAATGATTTCAAATGCAAATGAAATGTAATAAAATCAACTTTTGAGAAATAAAAGTGATGATACGATATATGGTATGGCATATTCTAACCAGTCGTGATAGACTTCATAGTCTACCATGATGAAGTCTACCATGCATGTAGGGGTGCTGACGTTCTACATCCTGATCCTCTTAACAAAGTATTAGGATTTCA